CTTCTTTGTCTGTGTTAATTGGTTTCCCTTTTCTTTGTTGAAGAGGGTCTGTGCAATCCTTCTGCCTAGTCCGCCATCTTGCCCCGCCTCTCTAATGGCTTTTATTACTGAGATCCCTGAGTGAGTTGATACCTGGCTTTTTGGTTAGTGAGGCAAGAATTCTGTGTCCATGCTCCAGAATCTTTCATTGTGGTCTTCTTTACCCTTCGATTTGGTAAGCAATCCCCATACTCTGGGACTTGGTGACCTTATCTGTGACATAAAGGGCTGTGCTGGGTGATTTCTGAGGCCACTTTCAGCTCTGAAATTTGATGATGTTTATTAAATCCTAAGGTTTTTATTTATTCATGAAAAATATTTGGGTCAGTACTCCCTCCCTCAGAGTCCCTAGATTGTGCAAAAGCACTTAACAGTATTTGGCTGCTAACCAAAAGGTTGAAGGTTTATTGTGAATGCAGAAAGAAATTTGCTTTTTTAAAACACAAAACCATGACCAATGGGATGCTATAATAGTATGAAGTTTAAATGATGTGACCAGATGTGAGGATAGAAAAAAATTGCTTTTTCAAAATAATTTCAGCTATCCTTTGGTGTAGTCTATCACTTTGTGTAATATTTCCTTAAGTGTATTTTTGAAAATAATCATGTAAAAATAACTATCACTGACCCTGGTGTTTTATTCAAAATATTAAAATAAAATAAAATATGGTACTGGTAATGTCATTTTGTCATAAAGTAAAATAATCCAGAAGTCATGTTCTCAAAGGTAGGCAGAACTTTGCCATCATAAAGACGTGTACAGCAAGGCTGGGTAAAATTTCCTTTCTTCTACTAGATTTCAGAAGTATATATGCAATCATGTTAACTAATCATTAACTAATGAGACCTTTACTAGGGCTTTACCAAATCCTGTCTTTCAGGTGATCCCTCTAAATTTTTCTTTTTGTTCTAGAATACAGTAGAAAGTAAAAGGAAGCTGCCACATATAAACTTTTGTCTCATGTGAGGACTTCAGATATAAAGTGATAAAGAAATTTCCTACAAGGACAATTATCTAAGTGTCAGGGAGGGATAGCTAGAGCTGAGCAGGGATCAAAAAGTGACTTTTAAGATTCTTTTGATTTTGTGCAATACACATTAAGCACTGTCAGCAGGTTTCTTTAATTGGATCCTGGTGGCATGGAGGTGGTAGTGTGGAGGAACCTTAGATGTCAATGGGACAATCAAGAGAGGGTGTGAGGCATGAAGGATAGGTTTGTACATTCCCACAATATGACACTTGTGCTTTCTGTGTGTGCTCTTTTCAGAATCTGTGAGAAGAAGCTTCCACAATGGTTTGTTCAGGTCTCCAGAGGATGGCCTGTACGAGTGCATACCTGGTGAGAATGGTCAGCAGTGTCTCTAGAGGCCATCAGCACCAGGCCTTGGGCACAAGTCCTGACACTTCCAAGCACAGTGTCCAGGGAGCTGCAGGTGGTGTGGTGGAGCTGCTGGGCCGAGCCTACCCACAGGATAACTACACCAACCTCACCAGGAAGGTCCTTTGCAAGGTTGGCAGGAATCTGTATAACCAGCAGCATCACCCACTGTGGTTGGTCAAAGAGAGGGTGAAGGAGCACTTCTATAAGCAGTATGTGGGTCGCTTTGGGACCCCACTATTCTCAGTTTACGATGACCTTCCTCCAGTGGTCACAACCTGGCAGAACTTTGACAGCTTACTCATCGCGGCTGACCACCCCAGCAGGAAGAAAGGGGACAACTACTACCTGAACCAGACACACATGCTACGGGCTCACACATCTGCACACCAATGGGACCTGGTCCACTCAGGGCTGGATGCCTTCTTGGTGGTGGGCGATGTCTACCGGCGTGACCAGATTGATGCCCAGCACTACCCTGTGTTCCACCAGCTGGAGGCTGTCCGGCTCTTCTCCAAGCACGAGGTGAGTCTGGGGTCTCTTCTATCACTGATGGACATTGTGGACATTTGTTGGTGGGGTCACTAAGTTTTGTTTTACCAAAGCCAGTATAGTCACCCTTAGTCTTACTTTGCTTTAGTGTCATCTGTACTTAGTGAAAGGAGCTCTGGAGGTGCAGTGGTTAAAATATTTGATTGCTAACAAACAGGTTACATACCTTTAATGATATGTAAATTTGCCCGCACTTTGAAACTCCTACTCACAACAAATTCTTCATCACCATCACCTTCACTTGCTGTGCATGCAGCTTTTAAATCATTGAAAAGACTTCCAGCCTTTTTTTGCACTAAAGTAAGCCTGAATAAGAGCCATATGCACCTGTTCTGATTTACCTACAAATTCCACTTAAAGACACACTTAGGAATAAATCTTGTTTGTAGCCTAGGTACTGCCTGTACTGACCTGCCCTTTTCTGGGGTACTTCTTATGAATGTGTATAGCTTAGAGTCACCCTTAACCCAGCATGACTGAAGATATAACACTGAAACATGTGTTTAGGTTATTCCAGTCCTCAGGTAGTATAGGAGTCTTTGGGTAGCACAAATGGTTAAGTGCTCAGCTACTAACTGAAGGGTTGGACATTGGAGTCCACCAGAGGCAACTTGGAAGAAAGGCCTGGAAATCTACTTCTGAAAGGTCATAGCTTTGTAAACTCCAGGGAGCACAGTTCTACTCTGACACACATAGGTTGTCGTCGAGTCAGAATTGACTTGATGACAACTTTTTTTTTTTTGGCAGGTAGTACAAGGAGTTCTGGTGGCATAGTGCCTGAGGCATTTGACTACTAACTAGAAGGTTGGTGGTTCAAACCCACCAGCCGCTCCATGAGAGAAAGATGGGGCAATCTACTTCTGTAAATATTTACTGCTTCAAAACCCAAAGAGGGGTCACTATGAGTCACAGTCGACTCCATGGCAGTGAGTTTGGTTGTTTTTTTTTTTTTCAGTTTGAGTATAAGTGAATCATGATGTATGATGTCAAGCTGTTAGGGATGAATGAATTTCTCTTATAGCATAAAGGGACTGGTGATCATAAACTGTGTCCTTGTTCCCATGCTCTTTCCTTACTCTCTTCTGCTTTGCATAATGTGTAGAGATACTTTCATTACTGCCATTCTTGAAGTATAAATTTGGATGTATAGAGCCTTTTTGATCAGGAAATCTGATCTTCTGGCCATTCTCACAAGTGCTCAGCTTCTTGCATCTGTTGGATGTTATCCTAAGATGTTGGGGCATCTTTGGAGCAAATACACATTGCTCTGGTGGTGCAATGGCTAAGGCTGCTAATCAAAAGATTGGCTGCTAACCAAAAGGTTGGTGGTTCAAACCAACCAGCCACACCACAGGAGAAAGATGAGGCAATCTGCTTCTTTAAGATTTACAGCCTTAGAAACCCTCTGGGGCATTTCTACTCTGTCCTCTAAGGTCGCTATGACTCAGAGTCCACTCGATGGCAGTGGGTTTCATTTGGTGTTGACTTGGAGCAAATGATGAAAATCCCTAAAAGCTTAGATCTGTTTCCTAAAAACTTGTAATACGATTTGTCTTTCATTCATATACCTTTAAACTGTCTTCTCCGTGGCGTTAGAAATGAACAGAATTAAACTAAGCACAAGAAATACTAACTTGACTCCTTTACTGCCTATCTGTCCCCTGTGGTCAGGCATGAATATGTTTGTTAGAACAGGAAGAATAATTATCATCACAGAACTCCCTCCTGCAAACACAAGCTAAATGAATTGTTAATATGAAAACAAATAAGCTATTAAGTAACGATAGCTTTGCTTGATTAAATAAGTCATGTAGTGAGAGAGAGTTCAATAAGACTGCCCTACCGTCCTCTTCGGTTCTTTTCCTATACCCCAGGATCTGCCATGATCCTATGAATCTATTAAAACACAGCAGTGTGTTAGCCTTACACAAAGAAACCACCCAACCTTGACCTTAGAGGAGCTTAGACGAACATTCTTACTATTTAGAATAAGTGACTTCTCTCTAATTTAGGAATACTATTAACAAGAATATGGATTTATTTGGAAAGAAATGGAACAAAAACAGGTCAAAGTCTGGAAAATATGACCGATAAATATGACCGATGCTAGATTGCCACTTATAATTAGTGTGCGTGAGAAGCCGTGATGCCAGTAATGTGAAGTCTAGGTCATGGCAGCTGACAGATGCTCAGCCTAGCTGACCTCATTCAAGAAATGAAAAAGGAAAGCACTCACTAATTTGTGAGCCTGAATGTCATGGAAGTGGTAATGCAAGCTTTGTGACTCATTGTAGAATTTTATTGGAGGAAAAGTGAAGGCTGCAACAGAAGTGGGATAGCAGGAAGTGGGGTGGGGGAAGCATTCCTTGTCTTGTCTCATGGTTTTGGGTCCAGCCTGGCTTGGGCAATAGCAAGCATGGCTCATCTTGTCTGATAATGTTACTGTATATTTTGTCTTACTGTCAAAAAAAATTACACATACATATTCATATATAGTCTTCTTATAGATTTGTAAAATGTTTTTGTGTTCATCGTTTCATGTACTCCTCTCTTTTGGTTCTCTAGTGCTGCTCTAATGGAAAATACCACAAAGTTGATGGCTTTAACAAACAGCAATTTATTCTCTTACAATTTAGAAGTATAGAAGTCTGAGTTCAAAGGGCCACTTCTAAGGGGCTGCATGAAGGCCCCTCAACTTTGGGCTTCTGCCCAGCCCACTGGAAATAGAGGCATTTCTTAACTCAGGCAGCTGCTGGCCACTGAGGCATACAAACCTAAGGTTAACAAGTAAAATGGCACAGTGCCAAGATTATCAAGCAACACAACATACTACTAATTCAAGTCCAGAAACAGTCCCAAGATTGGCAGGCAACATGGCAGGCTGCTGGATGAAGACTTGGCTAAATGCCAGACCCAAGCATGCCAAAAAGCACAAGACCTTTCTCAAAGCTTCTCCTTATATACTGGAAGCAGATGACATACCTAAGGCAGCTACTCAGCTGCTCACAGTAGATTCCACCATGGAGTTGTTTACAAGTCTCATCATCCAGCTGCCCAGCCACTTGAAAGCGGACCCAGCCAAGTTGACACATAACCTTAGCTATCAGATCCTCTTAACAAAAATCTTGTAATGCAGATTATTCCACTTCATCCATGAGGACTCTGAGGTCCCAGAGTGTTTAGTGACTTCTTGTCCAGCCAGTCAGTGACAGAGCTAAAACTTGAACTCAGGTCTTCTGAGTCCCTTGCTAATTCTGCTATATTGTGTTGATTATCAGTGTTTCAGGGGGGCATGCTTTATTAAGTGCTTTATTAAGTGGGGTCTACTTTATTCCCAAGAATGGTGTTGGGGGTGAGGGGACTCCTGTTCTGGGAATTCTTGGCCTTAACTAAAGTGTTAGTACTAAGTCTGACCTAAATTTTCAAGAAATTTTTTTCCTCCTTCAGTTTTTTTCCTCCATGAAAAGATTTCTAGAACAATTATAATCATATTTAAAAAGGAGCCCAGATGGTGCAACAGTTAAGCACTCGGCTGCTAACCAAAAGGTTGGCAGCTCTGCAGGAGAAAGACTTTGGTGATCTGTTCCTGTAAAGATCTCAGCCTAAGAAATCCTATGGGGCAGTTCTGCTCTGTCCTATAGGGTCACTTTGAGTCGAAATTGACTCTATAGTACACAACAACAACAACAAACATATATAATTTAAAAATTATATATATTAAGGTTTTATGTTATTTTATAATCTTTCTGGTCATTATTTCAGTTACCGTTGTCTTTCAACAAGGAGAAAAGTGAATATAGAGGTAAGGGTACAAGAAACAATGATGACCCTGAAAAAGGGTGAAATATGAAAATAAAGAAATTTCATTATTAATCATTATAAAACATTTTTATGTTTGTATAAAAGATAAAATAAAAATGAAAACTCTAACCAATAATAACAAATTTGGTTGGAGAAATTAATAGGTAGTTAAAGCCTGCTAACATTCTTAATCATACTTAGGAAAAGGATAGAAATTCTGAGAAATTTTAGTGTGTTGAAAAACAAATCAGGCCACAATGCAATCTATACATGTCCAAACAGGTAGAGGGAGAAGAGGGATGTAGAAAATTATTTCAGTTCAGCAGAAAGAAAAGAAAAGGTAGAAAATGGAAACCTAAAATGGAAATATAGTCCAAATCTATCAGTATTCACAAATTTAAATAGGTTAAACTCACCACATGAAAACACAGCTCATCAAACTGGCCATTTTGCAATTAGATAACCTGATACAAAACCACACCAGAGGTTGCAAATAAAGGGCAGGAAAAATGCTTACCAAGGAAATCTCATAAAATAATATTATTATTAGATAAAATAGAATTTGTGACAAAATGATATATAGGAATAAAGAAGGATAATACATTAACCAATAAGCTTTATGAATTATGAATTTATGAATTATGTTAATGTTCCCAACATTATAGCTTTAATAAATAAAGCAAAAGTGAGCAATTAAAAACTAAGTTTGATAAATCTATAATCATAGAAGATTTTAAATTAACTCCATCTAAACTGATGGATAGGGAGCTCTGGTAGCATAGTGCCTAAGGCACTTGACTGCTAACCAGAAGGCTGGCGGTTCAAACCCACCAGCCACTCCTTGGAGGGAAGATGGGGCAATCTACTTCTGTGGTGATACTGCCTTGGAAATCCAAGGAGGGGTCGCTATGAGTCAGGCCCGACTTGACAGCACATAACAACAACATCAACAACAAACTGATGGATACAAAAAAGGGGGAAAAAAAACCTCAGTAGATAAAGCGGACAATTTGAATAAAGCTTAATAAATAAACTAATTAATGAACTTAATTTGTATCTGTTTAAAAAATATTATATATATCCATACATACACATATATCTATCTGTCTGCCATTGGCAGAGCTTATGTACATATATATAAACAGAATATTGTACATTTTGCACCCAAGAGT